TGTGATTTGCAATTTTTTTAATTTTGCTTCCTAGTTGACAGCAGTCGGCAATACCAGCCTGGAAATTATTGTGCATAGAGTAGTAAAATGCTTGGAGTTTAAACACGATCAATTGTTACATTTCCTTTGGAATAAATTCAAATTTTATGTTTACTTTAGTGATCTAAAAAATTAAATGAATAACTGAAAGCCTTCGTTGGTATCTTATCGCAAAAAAATCATTCCATAATGACATATGCAGATTAATTCCTTTATTTAAAATCATAGATAAAATGTGGAAAAATTATTATGGTGTTGATGTAGCAATTGATGAAACGGTATTAGGTATTATTAAAGTTATCGTAAATAATTCGTAGTCGATCACATATGGTAACGCATTCATCTGATTCTGCAATGTTAATTCTTATATTCGACTTTGAATTCATTGCATTATGAGCCATAAATCAATTTCTCACAGCGTCTCACGATTTTTGAACTCTAGCAAACATTTGGGCTCTATCATCATTCGCAGCAATCAACGTTAATTACCTGGCACTCATACAACCATATTGAATTATGTTTCTGATTTGACGCACCGTCAGTTCGCGAAAAACATGGCCGGAGATCCTCGGGCTGCAATGAATCACTCGTTGGCAATTGTTCATACTTCAGGCAGCGTCACGGAGATAAACATGGTCGTGCTACAGATAAATCAGATCACTTGAAGTGCCGTGTCATTAAATGCAGTTAAGGCGCTTTCAATTTGCCTCAGGCTGTTTTTTGCAGCCAATCTTTTCTTGCTTTGCATCGTAAAAGTCATGGAAAAAAGTTTGGATGTTCTAACAGTAAAACCTATGTCAGGATAGGACAGGCGGAGACAGTTGTTAAATTATATACGACGTCAATTTTCGGAATTCGTGTGCATGACGTGTGTTTTCAACATACAGTTTATCAACGTACGTTCATCAACTATCAAACTATGTTGCCCCGTCAACATCAATTCCTAAACAACTTATGTTAATTTCAAAAGGTACAAGTTTAATTCACTGACAACATTTGGCGTCAATTTCGAAAACCATGGTCGAGCGCGTACGGTTTTCACCTCAACATACTTCAATTCTTAAAACACATTCGACGTTAATTTTTAAATACCATTCGTTTTTATATCCAGAAAAGATGCAGTGTGACAACAATAGCTCCTGTTAAGCTTCATCACCTGCCGTCTTTTAAATAATTGTATCCGTTCCTCTTCAGACAAACCCTTTGTACATTTTTTTGTCATCCATCCTTTTCGAACTTTCTTAACAAACTTTCCTTCGGGCACTAACAAATCTCTTTAATTTTTATTATCTTTCCTGGACGAATCTCTTTCATAATTCAATAATATTTTTCCCATACGGAGAGAGATAAAAAAACCCGTCCTAGCTTTGCGCATTTTTACAAACCTCCGTTAAATGAATTAAATATCTTTGCGAACAAATTAAAATCGTGAATGCACTTATTTTCGGTGGAAATCATAATCGAACAAAATTATGCTACCAATGCGCAATCATAATATTAGAAATCTTCAAGGTGTCGAGCCTTATTCGCCATTTAATTTTTTGTTCTGTTTGTTAGCATCAGGTTATATTGATTTATTTGGTGAAAGTAGCTGCCGGTACAAAAATCGATGACATGGAAAGTGGGCCACAAGTGCGGGTTGCCACGCACACGTGCCGATGTGAATGTAAATTCTGATCAAATTTTTTTGTGGATTTTTACTTATACAAATTAGTGGGTGAATACGCTACGTTCGTTACGCAAAATTTTAATAGAGAATCCTTCGCCACAGTGACTTGCAATTATTGTGGCTTCAGCAATGCATTCAAAGCTCATTTAAACTTTTAATTTTTTGACAAAATATAAGACTCCATTAAATAATTCATAATATCAATCATAAAGGAAGAGAATAGTATATGCACTCAAAACATTTTTTGGGTCACATTGTCCAAACAGTGACACGCATTATTACCCAATGCAGGAAAAACAAAGCGGGCGCAGCATTGATATACCCATGGTTGTATTAATTCAACCATGGATATACCCTTCTGCCGGAGCAAACTGTGGCAGAATGACCCACGCAGAAGCAAACAACGCATCGCTATTTGGTCAAACTTAACCTCATTTTCTTGAGTGCATGATGGTAACTTGCTTAGTAACTTGAATCAATAACTTAAGAAATGAGAATCGTCATCATCATGCAGATGAAATGTTTGCTTCATTCAAAAATTTAGGTTGGATATTTTTTAAAACTCTTACTGGAAAATCAATGATATTTTTTTCATTCCTCTAAGCTTGCAGAGCATCTTCTACAAATCTCATTAAATAAATGAAACTATCAATTTGTTCATTTAACATTCACACTAAAGTGGTGCGTTGTACCAAATATTTTCAATCTGGATTTCCAAGAACATGCAAACCTTCGAGAATTCAGTTTGTTACCGGAAGAACTGAAATTTTACCTCTAAATCAAACCGAATGATAATTCTGCATGATTTTCATCTGTTACCATACTTACCTCATATAATTAAAGCTGGGGTCAAATTTATGTAGATAAAATTGTATAGACTCTTTCAAATTCTCCAGTATGTGGCAGGAGCGTTAACCGATGTATCGAATTAAACATCCACAAAATGGAGATACTCAAATGTTAAAGTAATTTTCCGTAGACTCTTTCGATTGCGTATGAATGATAAAATTCTTTTCATGAAATTCACAATATTGTGGCGTGTGCGCATGGTCCCACGTTATCGGGAGGTTTTATTGTGTACGTATATACATTATCTATATCTTACACGTTGGTTAATTTTAGCGTTGATTTCAGAATCATTATGAAAACCGCTCTTTCATCGTCTATAAATGATTGTCATCAGACATCTAACATTAAATCAGCGTTGAGTTCGACGTTGGTTCGTTGAATTAACGTTAATTTAACGTTCGGTCAACATCATTAGCCCTGTGGGTTGTCACTCGATTCTGACAATGTACGCCAAAATCCGGAATATACAATGTAGTTATTCGTACATTTATTAATAATATGTCATCTATATAAAATAATATGTCATCGATATACAGAATGGTAAGAAACACCACAAAATTCCTTGCTGACATTTCGATCTGTTTCTATTAAATCTTTCTCGCGCAGAAAGCTATTGGCGACCAAAATGAGCAAGCTTTCTAGCTCGCAATTAATAGCCCATTCAACACTTAAAATTACATGCTACTATTTCCAAAATATCATTATTATATTACGGCAAATTCTACTCAAGCCATCAACACGGTCATGTTACTGCTGTTTACTAACATGAACAGTTTGATCCCAGATAACAAAGCTATTTTGATGATATAATTCAAACAAAAATAAAATTTAGTCATATATGTTTCCCTTTTGTCGATTTTTTTGAAGATACTGAGTGCAGTTTGAATTTTGTGCAAATGGTTATGCACTTTTCGTCTTTGTGTGCGTATATATGGGTAGTGTCTGTGGGTCGCTAAATGGACATTATGCCCCATTCATTTTTTACAGTGCACGAGTGGAAACGTCATAATGCAGAGAAGACGCATTTTTTTAATTTATTTAATTTATTCGTCAATAATATAGTGATATGTAATTTTTCATATGTCTCCTGTATAAACTGTATTTACACAGGAGGCCGCGTCTCTCCTCGTGTTAAATTATAATATTTATTCTATTTATTGACTAGAAGTCCACGCTGATACGTTTGAAACTATGCTACTTGTATAGAAGGTGACGGCTTGTGTTATAGATTTTTTTATAAAATTTATGCAAAATTTTCCGTCGCATGAGGTTAAATGAAATGAAAATTTCTCCATTCATAGGATCGCAGCCAAACCCTTGCCATAACAAAAATTCATTCGAAAATTTATCCAATAAGTCGATTTTTGGATTTTCCTGTATTTTGATTTGTATTTATTTCTTTCGTTTGCAAGAATGAAATTTTTCATAAGAATGTTTTCCAAGGTTTTCTCGAATCATATTTATTGATAGATTAAATGGCGGCAAATGTGCTAAAAGTAATTTTTTTACTCATAAACTAACATAACTTTTAGCGCTCATTAACTGTGATGCAGTCTTCAATGCTAGAGCCTCTGCACACAATTTTTCTCTCTTAATCGCAAAATTAAAAATTAATAAGGAATCATCTAAATAAAAATTGATTCTTCCGTTTACAATAAACCTAACAAATAGTTGGTGTTACACCAGCTGAAACCCAGCTCTTCATATAACAAGTTCTAGTTAAGATAGTGTCTGCTCAACTTGCATTTATCGGTCACTGCAAGAACGGCAGCCATTTTTACACGAATTTAGTCCATCGGTGGATATTTTCTCGATACTCGGCATCGCTGGAGCAAGCCAAGCTCTGGCAAGGTAAACATCGCCCAGGCCTGATCATAATTCAAGCCGTGAAAGCAATCCTCTTGGAAAGCAGAGCCGTCGACGTGGGAAGTGATTCACGACTAACAGGAATTACCCCAAAAAATAGTCCCACAGAAATTACTGCAGAAAATTGCCCTAAAGAATTTAATTTTGTCGCCGGTGCACTTACTTCTTTAATCGGTACTTGATACCAGATGTCGTAAAACAGGCTCTGAACGCAAGTGTGTTGGTTACCGGGGCAAATTCAATGGATTACAATTAAATGATCAATGAATTGATTCAGTTGAATAAAATAGTTCATAAATAATGACGAGTTTTTTGGGTGAATTTTTGTCCGTTCTTCAATATAAACGTTTTCCGAAGCTCATTAATTAGAATATGATTCAAACTGTTTCCATCCCCTATAGTCACAATAATTCATTATTAAACATTCCACTTATTGTGCAATATTTCCCTAAATCGACAACGCCGTGCAAAGCGGTTTACATCTGTTGGGTTTCGCTCCAGCGAAACCCAACCAAAACCCAAAGTTTTACGTCTGTTGGGTTTCGCTCCAGCGAGGAATAATTCTTTAGGATCAAAATACTCAAACAATAAACGTTTAATTCTTGTCATGACAACGCAGTATAGAACAAAATATATAAGTTAGTTTTTTTAAGAAAACCACAAAAAAAACATGAAAGAAATCATAGAAGAAACTTAATTTTACAACAAATATTCCCTGGGAGTTCTGAAACAATTCTTTTAGTTGTAAATTACTTGTAAGTCTTACGATCAGCTCCATGGCTGCTTCGGTGCTAAACGAAACATTGATCCATTAAACCACGTAACGCTTTTTTCATTTCTCGAGTTTCATCAATTCTATGGACAATAATCAATAGTATTTTAATTTCTATGACGCATCCAGCTTTCTTTTATATTTTACATTCCAAAACATAAATTTCTTAGGCTCCTGTAAAACTGATGAGATTCTGGCAATTGTTTGCAATAATAAATAAAATACGTGAACTATAATCCGAACGCATTTCTTTCGTTTTTCCTTCGTTGATAATCCCTCTCATTTATTATCCATTTGCTCCAATTTGATTAATCTCACTCCAGCGCACATTTGCTCTGAATGCAGCGCATGAAAGGCACGAGCTGTAGGATAAAAAATACATGCAATTATAGATAACAGTGGATAAATAAATAACAGTCACAAAAAATTCAACTTTGCATCCCAGCCGCTTAGTGGAAAATATCCTTCTTATATTTTTACAAATCTTTAGTAGTCGACAACCCAAAAATAATTTTCAAGTAGTCACGAACATTAACGTAAAAAACTTACATATTTCACTCCTATAACAAACGCAAAATAAATAACCAAGCAGTATTAAATGTGTACAGGATAACTAGCGATTATAGAAAGCTAATTCCCTATAGCGGCATCTGACGTTGAAATGACGTTAAATAAACGATGTTTGGACACATTAAACTCATAATAAACGATGTTTCAACATCATATCCCGGTAAGAATATACCATGTTTGCTAACATGAACTTCATTTACTTATGCCATTAGTCTGCTTAAATAACAAGTCCGCCAAATTTTAAAAGCAAATAAGGCGAATTCACCATATCTTATATGAAAACATTTCAGAGACCAGTTCCATCATCAGATGGAAGTGATCAACTTTTCTTTGAAGATATGATGAATTTTCTTGGCATTTTTTCTCTGAAATTTTTGTTAAAGATCATGTCCCCAGAAGTTATTATTCACTGACCACGTTGTCCTGCAGGAGGCCAGGGGTGCAGACACCGAGGGCAGCCATCACGGAGCTCGCCATGCGGGTTCTCTTCACGCCCAGCTTGATGCTCTCAATGAAGTCATCGTTCTTCAGTCCGCTGCTGTCAAACTATCACAAATAGCACAATTTTATTCATCTTCAAAAGCTCAGATAATAATAAATAATTATAATATATAATATATAAAGGCTCACCTAATAAGTGGTACGTATTTTCAGTCATGTAGACAAATATGTCATCAATTAAGTTTACTCAATTTACGTTATTCTACAGTTGAGCTTCGAGAAAGAATTCGGCGAGTCATCAAGATTTTCAGTGCAAACAAACAACTAGATAAATCACGTTCACAAAATCACGATACGCAGTTCATAATTCCATCAATACGTGAGCTTACTTATATTGACCACTTTTAATACCTGAGTATTAGTAATTGATTCAACTTACCATGTTTGACTTAGCAGCGAAGCAAGTCAATATTATCTCCGACATCCTGTCCGATTCCGGTCCTAGAAAATGACATATAAAAAGAAAATGAACTTACAAAAATAATAAAATGTTCAGATGCTGAGAAAAAGCCGGATATTAATTGCAACAGTAAAAAATATTATATCGCCATAAATATCTTCTTCATAGATTATAATATCTCATTATAATATAGGTAAAAGCGTTATATATTATAAATTATAATATTATTTTTCTTATCATAGTGTTTGAGTGAAACTTAGAACAAACAATTGCAAAGCAATTTCTTAATCAACGATGACAGTTAAACTAAGGAAATAACGACTCTGCTCTAACATTAAAAGAATGGAAACTCTCAAAGGTAAAATTTCATTAATCAGAGAATCGTTAGAAATGTCCAGATTTGTTTGCGATCGAGACAGTTTTGTGTGCGGTGAAAGACTCGTTTTAGCTCGGTTAGTCAACTCATCGTGCCGTTGATATATACAATACCTCTATTAAAAACAAGGCATGCAAAATTATACCCCGATCAACGAACTATTTAAAATCCCTACACTCAATATAATCCGGTTAGCTAATAGCTGTACATTAGATCGTGTTTATTACACAAATTGTACTCACTGCACACATTTAACCCAGGCCAGCAAACATCTGTACAGAGTCTCATTACACCGCATCTATTGCACAAGCTACAAACTCAAGATAAAATATTCCCTGCTTAGCAACCAGCTGTTCTTACCCTGAGACAGTGGTTGTTGCAATAGCTTAAACACAACGCAAAATATGCCTTAATATTACAGCTTACATCAACTAGCAGTACAAAAATAGACCATTAGACCACTGTACTTGATATTGACCAGTCTAACACGCAAGACACATTAAAGTGTGTTCAAGAGAACACATAGTAGACACATTGAAGTGTTCAAGAAAATACAGGGCACATAGAAATGTTCAAGAGAGCACACGTGACTCGTATAAGTGTTAGATACAAGACTCATATAAGAGAAAATAAGAGACACATTAAAGTGTGCAAGAGAACATACAAGACACAATGAAGTGTGCAAGAAAACACACATAACACATTAAATGTTCAGCAGTATCACACACCATAGTAAGCGGTATTAAAGTGTTCAAGAGAACATACAAGACACAATGAAGTGTGCAAGAAAACACACATAACACATTAAATGTTCAACAGCACCACGCACCAGAGTAAGCGGTATTAGCAGCGGCCACGGCGGGCAGCTCAAGGCACTTGTCCACCACGAGCTGTAGGTTCGACCGCTGCGACTCAGGCACCTGCGGCACCAGCTCCTCGCACGACTCCACTGGGAACCTGTGGTGACAATTTCAATTATAAATATAATTCAAAATGTAAATAATAAAATATTATAAATGAAAATCAATAAGAAGGTGAAATATTAATAAAATTCTAATTCAGAAGGTAAAAAATAAAAAATTATTATAAAAAAAAAATAAAATATAATAAAAAATAAATTATAATAAAAACAAAAATCATATCATAATGAAAATTATTTATTATGATAATCAAAAAGAAGGCGGAAGATCGATTGATTCAGTATTTTTATTTCATTTATAACGAAAATAATGGCGTATAATGACATAAAATACATTTCAACATTATAAACAAAGATGCTGCAGTTTTTATAACATTAATTTTAGAAGTAAAGTTATGAGAACAGGCATTCGGTCCAGGGAAGAAGACAGGTCAGAAACCGAGTTTCTGCTCAGTTATTTTTCAAATGACGATATTAAATCATTTTTTAATAATTGACTTAATTATTGAGAGAGTTTTCATAATACAAGATGTTACATGGTAAAATAACTTACGGCACAACGTTGGCCAGCGCTTGAACTTTCCCAACAGCAAGGAGGAAAACAGAGACGAGGGAGACTGCGATCTTCATTTTGATGTTTTTTCTGCCAATTTTAGAAACAATATTTTGTTCATTAAATGACAAACATTGAAATTTGCACCAATAAAAATTATGAGGCTAATCACACATGCGTTTTTTAGATAAAAAATCGTAAATTACATGTAATTTTAACACATTGAACACTGGCATATAGCTATATGACACAAATTATGAAAATTTCTATAATTATAGGTAAAATTATTTGTAACCATTTAAATTTTTTTTTTCAGCGCTATTTCTGTCATCCTGACAAACTCTCGCTAGGTTTATCGTATTTAGTCAGTTTCATGGAATATAAAACTAATCACCCCTACATATGTTCAACAAATTCCCAAATACCATAAGATTCTTGAAGCACGTTAAAAATTGCATTACTCTCTTTACATTCACCTTTAAAAATCCAACTATTGATTCCACGACGTTTCTGCACTTCAGTTTCTAAACGTAATGACGGCGGGTTGCCAGGGCGATCGCTTTTATTACTGCGGAATGAATGGACCGCAAGGGACACATTCACTAACGACACGTGGATTAAGAACACTTGCGTATATATGACTGTACTAACTTACCTTATTTACTTTCACTTTATACAAAGGTATGACGCGTGGAAGGTAGCCATACGTAACAAACTCTGGTAGGTAAGGAAAACAAAGACACGTATAGAAAATGTAGAAACGAAAATTATAGGCAATTTAAAAACATAGGAAGCCATGAAAAACTGATGTCATTTGAAAAAAAATTCTGTAAGGGCAAACATATGTAGGTAAAAACGTAGGCAGATTGAACACTTCGAAGAACAGGCAATTAGAATAATTTCAGTAAACTGCACAGAAATTCAAACGAAATATATTATTGAAAAGCAGGTCAAGATATTTCAACAGAGAGGATATTTCTACATAGACTAAGATTTCTAAAATATATATTATAGATCTCAAAACATCCATTGGCCTTCAGTAGATCTTCTCGTTTGAAAAAAGCATTGCAATTTTTCATTGCAGCACGTCTTTGGGTTATATTTCTTGACTTATTTTTATTTCTTGTTTCTACACTGTATTATAATTATTGAACGCAGTCTCTTCCATGTATGTCATTTACCGACGCGCAATCATTCCAAGCGCACGATCCAGCGCCGCGTATAACATCTTTCTTCAATTTCTCCTCTTAGCATCCAATATATTACAAAGAAACATTTTAATATCACACAATTTAGTAGCAGTTGGTTTATAGGTGAAGAGATTCTGCACAAATTGGATGATGATCGGATACAAACTCCATAGACGTTCATAGACACCGATTATATGAATCTATTTTGAAGACTGATATCCATTGTCAGGCAGCCCTTGGAAGTCTGAATTAATTTTGTGAATTCAGTGTATGAACAAAGGTCTGGGTTGCAGTTCACGAATGGCTGATGAATGCCCGCTATTCATCCATTGGCAATTCGAATGGCAAGCTCTCAAAATTTGATTAGACTAACTTCGTACAACAATACTTGATTAATTTATTGAATCAATTACTGTCCAGTTTGCAAGTATATATTGTACAGTATCCGACAGGATATAATATAGGTACTGTATTTTCTCTCAGGCTTCGTCATTATTTGGCAGCATAAATTCCGATTTCTAAGAATAACACGGAATTCCTGCCTATTCAGCGACGGAATTAGCTCTATGTAAGATATGTTATATTTAGACTCGATAACTAATGTAGTGATAGTTGTTGCGAGGCAGGGCCCACTTTTCTTGTATAATTCGAGCAGATCGAAGTATACGTTTAAACCACCATTTGTTTTAAGGCTAAATCTTGCGAGTTTCAATTTTCGTTCGGCGTCTAACCTGTTTAATTCTCACATGAATCCATGACGATGCATGGCTAAAAACAAAAATAACTGTTCACTTTTTTTGCATCAAAATGATTTTTTTCCAACAATTTTGCTCTTTGTCGATAATGCGACGCGTGTTTACTGGCTGCCTACATCTACTCTTAGAATTAAAAATAGGCACTTCTACGTTACTGAAGCATATTTATTTTATTGTAATTCAATTTAATTAAAACGCTTTGTATTCATGTAATTCCAAGCCAAATTTTCGCTACTTTTCATGTAAATTCAGTTTCAAGCATTATTCGCAGCAGTTACAATTATCCAAAACTTAGTTTGATATTTATAACTATCGTTTTATCCATAACTTAATCTATAGCTTTCATTGATCTTTGCAACATGGTTTATTATTATAAATTTACTTTACTATTTACAGCTTTGATGTTTATAACTTGGTTTGCAACTTGATTTGATGTTTAGAACTTTGATATTTGCAACTTGGTTCGATGGTTTTGTGGTGACTCGGCCGCAAGTGTCACTTCAAAGACCCGTAAATGGATCACAAGTGTGGAAAGACGTTCGCTATTGTGCCTACATTTACTCTTTAGAATTAAAAATAGGCATTTCTACGTTGCCGGAGCATATTTATTTTTTATTTTTAATCAATTTCATTAAGACGCATTGTAATCATGTAATTCTAATCTAATTTTTCGCTCCTTTTCATGTAAATTTAGTTTCAAGCATTATTCGTCGCAGTTACAATTATCTAAAACTTGGTTCGATATTTAGAACTGTCGTATTATTTACAACTTAATATCTACAGCTTTGATTGATATTTGCAACATGGTTTATTATTATCAATTTACTTTGCTATTTACCACTTCGATGTTTATAACTTGGTTTGCAACGTGATTTGATGTTTAGAACTTTGGTGTACAGAACTTTTATATTCGCAACTTGGTTTGATGGTTTTGTGGTGACTCGGACGCAAGTGTCACTTCAAAGACCCGTAAATGGATCACAAGTGTGGAAAGACGTTCGCTATTGACGTCTGTATCGACCCATTTCTATTGAAGTTCCACTCGTTTATTGGAATTCGGAGTTCAACGAACTTTGGTTCCTGCATTTCCTCAACTACGGCGAGTTTGGCATCGTAGGGGCAATTTAAAATCATTTCCTGCTGTCTAGTTTCAAGTTAATATGACTTGCGGGCAAGAATTAATGTTCAAGGCGGTTTCATAGAAACGAAGCTTGAATTTGGATAAAATGTGAATTTTGACAATCGTTAGGATATTAATTCTACATTATATAAGAGAAGTAAACTATGAACATCATTGATGCCCGTATATTTCTAAATAAAAACATCCTTCCTGAGTTATTTGAAGAATAAAGTCAATGAAAATTTGAATTGAGGCCTAACACGATAGGGATTCAAACCCGCTCATAAAATGGATTGCAGCCTCATAGCACCTTTAGAAACGAAGAAACTGCTTTGCTCTCGATTCACTCCAAGAGTGGCAAGAAAAAATTATTTTAGTCAAACTAAATATTTAAAATATTACATACGATTCCCTATGCGATTGAATTAAATCACTTTTCAATATGGAAATTGAATTGTTTTAGGAAAGGCATACATTGAACCAAGTTCTCAAACCCGCGGAGCATTTTAAAGATGGGGAATTCAACGATTTTTCTTTAAACAATTGAGTATATTATGACTTTAATAATGAATAATCATTCGGGCATTTATTTCATAGCACCAATCGCAACGGATTCTTCTAATAATCAAATTTAACATGTGTTTACCGCACAGAACATTCCACAAAGCACATTAATCAACATCGCGATTGCCACGTTATCTCACTAGACGGGCGGGTGATCTGGCAGCTAGTTGATTAAACTATCTATATTATTCTTCGGTCAAGTAGCCTACCCAATGCAATCTTAGCCAAGCGTTACTCCAGCGCGCGAATTTCAAACTTCGACAACCCTCACACGAATTGCACAAATTAGCCAATATTTCAATCGGTATGATGAAATTATAGATCTTAAGGATTAGTATCAAAGTAAACCCGCGTATTAATAAGTAATTATTAGTAAACCCGCGACTGCACACAAGTTTTAATTAATTGAATCCGGGCCACATACGAGAGCTATCATTTTACAGTTCAATTCGCTACAGCACGATGTATTTTCTGATTATAGAGCGTGATGGAATGAATGTTATTTTTCAGGAGTTTGTACTAGCCTCAGCCCGTCATTCTTTGAAGCAGGGAAACCCCTACGCAAGCGATATGGCTTATAGTGGATACAAAATTGCATCATTGAAGGTCATTGATAGTCAGAAATCTTGTTCACTCGCACTTTATTTAGAAGTGGAGCTTCTCGAAGAACCATCTGTTCTTGCCCGACTTGTAGCGCTCCTCGAAGACGTTCTTGACGTGGAGACGAGCCTTTCGCTTCTTGGTGGGGTCCTTGATGCAGTCCTTGGTGACGATGCTCTTCTCGATGGGAATGTCGCTAACCGAGTAGCGCGTGGGCATTAGGTGCTTCAAGTTGATCAGCTGTAAATACAAACGATGTGTAAACGAAAAATTCTAAATAGCTGGAAAGTTTTACTGGAACTTAAAGAGGGACAAAGGAAAATGATAGCTTGAAAGTTAGTAGAACTCCAGCTGAGACCAGTTTAATAAACAGGTGAAAACGTGTGAAGAAAATCCAGTAAAAATGAACAATTCTTTGACTCAAGTATACGTACTATATAATTCAATTGTAGAATACAAAATGACTATCAATGAATGTCCGACGAATATTGAATTCGATGAGCTTTAATTGTTCAATGAGTCACACACATTATCAGCAGAAATAACAGTCATTTTAAATTTATCTAAGCCTGACAAAGATATTTAACCATCTCGTGTAATGACACATGGAAAAAGTTTAAGCGTTATTTTAGGCAAAAGATTCAAATTTACAAATTCAAACATGGTGATCATAGTATCCAAGATAGGCTTTCTTCAACTCCCATTCGAATATCAGAGTCAACGTAGCTGAAAAATATCAGCTAAGAGACGCATGTGCAGATCGCACCAAACTAACCTTGACAAAGGGCTTGATGCGGCATCTCCTTTCAATGACCTTGGGCCTCATGCGGCGGGAGACTGGCCGAGGATACCTGCAAAAAAATATGCGAGTTGAGACTAAGTTTTCTACGCTGCCTTAAATTAGAGAGAAACGTGTAATCTTCAACACTTTGGTAACTGAACTACTTGACGTTATCTTACTACACATGCAGCTCCAAAATAATTAATGAAATTAAATCAAAGATACCTATTCAATATGTAGGTTAATTGTTTACAAATGAATAGAAACAAATTGATAGAACAAATAGATGTGAGAGAAAAAAGCTTTAAAATTAGGCAGAGAATCAATGGTAGAAATTAACTCGGAGATGGGCGCAGACAACAGCAAGGAGTGACGATAAGTGTTAGCTCTAGGTGTAATGCATGGAATAAAAGTGATGGCACTGAATTATGGTGAGCTCAACAGACAGATTGAACAAAATGTAGTGGGAAGTTGGCCGAAGAGGCGGGCGAAAATAAGGACTGCTAAGGCGAAAATAAGATTGAGTATCTTGAGAGAAGGAAGAATGATAACAGGCTTGAGGCTTTATGCAAAACTGGAAAGAATAGACGAGTAGGCACATCAGACTTAAATTAGGAAAATGACAGGTGTTGGGTATTGGTATGTTCATTTGTCATGTGCTGTGTAACAGTGTAAGGCACAACATGTCGGGCAAAACACATCTGGACATTGCATGATGGACTCAAATAAATGAGGTTGATTAAGATGAATAACAAAATTTTGAGAGTAGAATTGCATGGAGAAAAAAAATATTAGAAAGAAGAATGAGGGAAAAAAATTGTGTGCATTATAAATATCAAACCAGTGATGCCAGAGCATTAATATATTAAAGGTTGTTTGTTAGGTGTTAAAAGCAAAGGTGCTATGCAAAAAAATTACCATGATCTGGGTGTTATGTGGAAGAGAGGATATGCACATTGTTAGTGAAGTAGAAAAATAATATGTGGTGAATTGTGGTGCGGACGAGAGAGATAGGTGAAGGTGATAACATAGGCGATTCGGATTAAGAGGTATAAACAAGTGAGCATTTATAGGGCAGAGCAACTGTATGATTGTACAAGGAGATATTAGGAAAGCCTGCTGAGACGGGAAAAATGAAGGATGCAATAATAAAGTGATCCGGAGAAAAACTTAATGAATAGACAAACCAGATTGATATTTCACTAATCACTGTAAAACTTGATGTGCTATTCATCAAGCCACAGTAAGGCTTATCCAAAAAGATCAATCTGCAAAATTTTAATCTTTGCTTGCATCCATATGATCAATCAATTGCACTCATATGATCAAACAAAGCCACAAGATTCTTAGCTCCCATAGAGTACATGTACAGCATAAGAGCCCCCAAAAAATTCGTAGGATAGGTGCAATTCCCTATTATTACAGGCAAAGGTAAAAAACCATCAGGAGTTCAGGCTCATTCAAATCTGGAACATTAAGTGAATAGCAATGCAGCCATGCACCACCAAATTTTGAATGCCCAGCCCTGAATGGAACAGCTAGCATCTATCCCTAATGCTATCAATCAGCTGCAGATAGATCCAGCAATCAGTAGTCATCCCAAACACCATTTTGCTTTAAATACTGTTAGGAATTACACCACCAATTATGGAAACTAATAGCCTAGAGTGCAATGACCATCACACTAAATGTTTTATGGAGGCATAACTTCATAACGTTACTGGTGCCCAATCACTGCTCACAATACGACTAGTCATCTTAGTTCACTGCAAGACTTGCATGAAGGTAATAAAACCTGTCCAGCACCACTATGCTGATAATCAAATATTTGTTCCAGCTAACTCACCTGGCAATGCCAGCAATCAGTGCATGTTCATATGAGCGATCTGATGACCCCTCATCCATATTTTTGATGACCAGAGCCTTCTTGCCGGCATAACAGCCACTGAGAACAATGACCACACGGCCTGATTTGTAGACCTTGCCCATTATGATGGGATTTTGTCACCTGGAAAAAAATTCAGGTTTTAAATGCCAAATGCACCAACTGGATTAATAGCTTCACTATAAATATATACAAAACAATAATTATCTTACAATCTTAATTCTGAATAAAACTTCAGATGACCAGCATACATCCATTTTTATGAGCAAATATCAATGCTTTTGAGTAAGGTGTAATCCTGAGTGATGTGGCTGGAGCAGGGCTGGAAAAGTCCTATTTTTTTCTGAAATATTGCAGCTCTAATACCATATAATTTCAGTAGGTACCATGACATCACGCAGCGCTAATGTCATGTATTTTTTGTTTGATTGAAAAAATTGCAGTTTGCACTTTGCAAACATGTTTCATAAAATTTCTAAACTCCACAAATGGACCACAATCTGCAGTACTTCAATGCTCCCACAAAAATATCCTGCAGAACATAATAGCAACAAGTTAATCCAAACGTTTCCTAAAAGATCACGTAGTTGCAGTCACATCAGAGCGGTCAGACTGCTTTATCACATGTTCATATGCCACATAAGTAAAGACAAATGTTAGTGTTGCCGTTTGACTGTTTTTAGAGTAAAATTAGAGATTTGGGATAACACGTGCACAGGACTTTGTAAATATGTATGCGGCTTGTATAAATGTCTTTTCATGGCCAAGATATAGAATTCAAAGCTTGAAGAAATGGAATCACAGCTGGCATTGGCAAACCCATAAAACCACAGCTCAAAAAATCCAGACACACCTTGCCAAGCATATATATTCTACGCCTGGGCAGGAGTGCAGCTTTCCTTTCATTTTCCTTTCAGAACCACAAGAAAAATTACAAGATTCCAGCTAAATGAATTACTTCCAATCAAATTGGTAATAAAAGTGTACAGTCAGGCTACAAGATACCAGTTGTATAGAAAATTTGTCACTTTGAAGCTGCAACATTTCATTCAGTTGTGAAAAGATCCAGTCAAATGACATGATTTTAGATCTTCTGTCATTTCTGTGAACAAGGCACAAAAAGGAAAAGAATCGGCAACAGGCCATATCAGGCCTCCACTTCAGCACCAACTTCACCAAGATCACTATGTTATGTTAGCTATGTTATCTTATAAGTAGAGAAATTCCAATCTAAGCTACTGGCAGTTGCCAGTCAAGCATGAAAAACATATACCTTTAGGTCTGCAACTAGAGCTTTCCCGCCATTTCCGGAACCCCGAGATTTCCGCCAGATGAATTACTTATCTAATTGTTAACAAAAGTGCACAATTGGGCGGCGAGATTCCAAATCTCCAACAAAATGTTCAGGTTAACTTGTTATCAATAGGAACAATGACTACTACGTTCAGCAGGATAGGCTATTTTGGCGGGACCATCAAAGTAATGCGGATTGCAGAAGTTGAAAATTTAATGAAATGACATGTTTGTGAAGTTTAAACCACAATTTTTTCAATCAAACAAAAATACATGACTGTAGAGTCATGAGATTACATACCTAATAAAATTATAGGATGTTAGAGCCTTGATAGGCCTATTTCAGAAAAAAAGGACTTTTCAAGACCTGGGCAGTAGCAGGTGGCTTTCAGTCATGAATATTTTAATATTGCTTCAGCCTTCAAAAATTTTCAGCTTGGTTCAAGAGAAATAGAAAATCAGTTCAGTTAAGTCACTTGCTGCAGGCACCAGGCTTGATCCAAGAATATCAGCAATTCAGCAGAATATTAGTATCAATAAAATGTGAACAAGTGATGTGATGGAACTTGAGTTCTTTCTTGCAACTCAGCATAGCCTAGTGTCCAAACAGAAACTTTTTTCAACTCTTCCTCAAGTTTGTTTAGGAGTCCTATAGGGATAACAGTGAATAATCATGGATACCAGCATTATCATACATAGCTAATAGGCTATAGTTGTTTAAATTTTTAGTAGAGGAGGAAATAAAAAATGGAACTGATTCTTGAATAGGCCTATCTATACTCTATGGTTTGCCACTAAGCTTTTGCGATTGTGATTAATCGATAGCCTATGAATCCGAGTAGATTTCCATCGAACATGAAAACTTAGCCTATTAGTAGTACAGCGAATTGCGATTCATGCACATTGCTCATGCATACAAGTTCTTTATTATAAATTCTTCAAAAATGACAGCGGGTTATTTTCCGGTATTTACAATTTCAGAATCCTTGAATAGCTACCGGGACAATGGTATCAGACAAATGCGTTATCTACTGTAGACAGTCACTGCACCAGTTTCACAAGTCACTTGAAAACAGAATATCAAACATAAAAACAAGTTTACGTTGCATTGGAGGATATAATGATAGGACTTTATATATGATTATATAATCAAACATTCAACAAATTCCACTCACCTAACTATAAACAACACCGATGTTCAACCAAAAGCTGAGCCAATGGTTCTTCTGTCACTCGATGCCTAGGAATCACTGAGAACAACGAATTACAGAAAAAAAAATTCAATTAAAAATTAGTCATTAAAATGTAAAATAAACAATATATTTTATGCGTGATCGTTCCAAAACAGAAATTCATGCTGAATTTAGGAGTTTATATTGATTTTTTGAAGTTATCAACTAGACCGGAAACACACCGTATATCCGAAGACTCCAGTCATAAACTATATAATTATATAAAAAATATTCGTTTACCGAGTTATTAATTTATTAATTAGTGTTTAGTCAGTTAGAGCTGCAAATATGACAGATAATCAATTTTATTATCAACGATATTACAGGACTTAATGGTTCGCAAAAGAAATGTCGGGTAGTTATATTTTGAACATCAATTCAGAATTAGAGGACTTGCAATGACTTATAACTGGTTCAGTTGCACAATAATTACGTTTTTCCGTTTAAATCCAAAAACGAAATGATTTTAAAATATTTTTTATAATTCCTCCCGGGTCGCATGCATGGCACATAATTATCTAGATTACAAATTTCAATGAGGCCTGTTCAGAATTGAAGGTCTTGTGAAGTTGTGTTTCGCGCTTGAGTCCGCGCCAGTAAATTCATGCGCACCTTGGCAGCTTAAAGGTGAGGAAGTAGCCACCCGATGACCACTTTTTACACCTGGACTCAGCAGGATTTACTTCGGAAAGTTTCAGTAGGTATTATTTCACTGGTTCTTTGAGATCTTATTCAGTGGGCTTATAGCTTTTGGATCTGAGCTCAAACCAAGATGCTACTTGCGCATTACAGATAAGCCAGGCGATTTGTCTGTGTTAAATAGATGACTGTTGCTCTTATTATTGCATGCTGAACATTTCTGCACAAGTTGCCTCCTCCAAGAAGTATCCGAACGGATGGATGCTGGACACCCAAGGCTTGAGTACTATTAATCAGCACCTGACGCTCCAGGCGGCACTGCGTGCATGCCAGGAGATTGCTGTCACTTGACACCACTGCCCACATTTCAGCGGTTGAAGTTTCTTCCCTTGTTACTCGAAAGACACAATTTTTGTCTGGACCGTTGCTAGCATAGAATTGACTCTTTTAGCCAAAAATGAGGCACAAAGTTGAAAAAAAAAATATTGAAGCTAACTCATAAATGATTCGTGTCACGCATAACTTCGTCAAATCGAGTCAATTTCTACCTAATGAATAACAAATTGTGAAACACAATACGCTCCCGCGACCACTGTCTAAACACTCTGTTATTCTCTACGCTTTTATTTAGCGTATATTCATCATCATTTGCAAGGGGGCGAACGGGCTCAAGTGGACAAGTCGCTGTAGCACGCTAGAAAAAAAAACAGCGTTAGCATCTATTAGAGACGAAGGAATAAGAAAGGCCAGATGTGAATCAACAGAAGCGAAGGTCGCTTTCACGAGAGGTGGGCCGTCGACATGAGAGCGAGATAAAAGAAATGCGAGGGAGGAATCCTGCCAACATAATAACTTAACCCCACAACTGAGACCTGCACCCGGACACGCGCTCAGTAGTGGGGAGCTCATGAACGATGCCACAAGGAATGCGAAATTACATGGAATGTTGATTAATATAGATACGCTTCAGACGCCCTTCTCAAGATTTTGGAGGGGGGGGGGGACGGGAACCACGATTAAGTTTTGAAAACAAATTCTATTTCTTTGATTGCGTGCTTCGATCTTTTATTCAAGTGAAGAACCCTTTGCTCATAATGCTTCTAGTAAATAATAGTGCTCCATTACCTCCTATTAACATCACATTTGAATGAAGACCGAGTTTAGAAATGTGAGTCATCCTGGCCACTTTCAACAATTCGAAGATGAAACAAAATACAGCATAAGCGAGACATTTATTGGCGATCCAAGTTGAAAATATGAATCCGCACTATACTCGGCCAGACTTGATACAACACCAAAAACTTAGCCGATCATCAAAATAATGCATAACCAAGATCCTGTAGAGGCACTGGTTTGACTAAAAAATCGGAAACTGTGAGGGAAAATTCAGTACTTAAGAGTTTATGAAGAAAATATTGTTACGATTTTTGATATTGATACGAAATATTAAAAAATAGAAATTTTATGAATTATGTCTCTTATTGTAAACAGAATGATGCATACATTCACATTATAAATAACTTACATTCGAATAACACATCCCAAAAACGAATAGCAAAGGATTCAAATAGCTTGCAAAGGCAAAAATCAGAACGAAAGTCATTCACAATCCTATAATAAATATCGCTAATATTAGTAAGCGGTAAATTGCAACACACATTAAAGTTTAACTCAAGCTAAGATTATTTGACATGATCGCTGTGTCATGATTAGATTCCAAATTCGAGTTCTATACAGACAATATAGTTTTGATCAAGTATGAAGTAAATGAAAAACTAAATTTTAACAACGAAAAATCACATACCATAAACTTGGATAATGTACGTACACGGGTCATCCAAGATGAGATTAACTGGACTAAATGATCACAAAAGAAGTCTGTTTTAACAACGATTTATATTTTGTTTCTCAGAGATAGCGACCATAGAGTGAATAGAAACAAGGACTCTCTAAATTAGTGTTAATGTGATTCGCCGTTTCATGAACAAAATTGTGTTCAATGAAATATCTTATGCAAAATGAAGTCTGAATAGTTTACTTTTGTTTGTGGTACAACAGAGAAATAGGAATAATTCTTCATCAACTGTTGATTCTTGCGCCCTGCAGGAATGGGTGTTTGAGTGCCTCAGCGGCGGATATTCTTGTGTTGGGGTTGAGATCGAGCAAGCGCTCGATAAGGTTGAAAAGTGAGCGGGGATAAGGTTTACCAAATAAAGAAGGCCTTGGACCTCTACGACGCCTCAAATTATTCAAGTCATCGCAGGCCTGAGTCCTAAAATTTGGTGAACTTTTAGCTAAGGTCACATCAACACTGAGAGCCCGAGGCATTTTAGGTTTTGTTGACGAAGATTGCAGTTTAGAATCGACACGAATGTTAATTGGTTCACATGTACCGTTAACGCTAGGTTGTTTCACGGTAGAACAATATTTCACTTCCTCGACTTTACACATTGTACTGTCATTGACTAATGAGTCAGATTCTTTTCGTTTGATGCCATCTGGCCAGTCTTCAAACTCGTGATGATTCGTTGCAGTTCGTTCAGATATGACTGTATTGGATAGACGACGCAATTCTACAACTTGCTTGACGGATGATTTAGATGGAGATATTGCACTATTTTTTTTACAGAGTCGTGACAAATATTCACTAGTGGGTGTGATAGTATCATTAGCACCAGAAACGTTCTTCGCAATTTTTGATCCAGGAGTGTAATCTAATTGTCTCCCCGAAGTTTTAGAATCATTAGTCAAGGAATAATCAATATGACTAGAATTCTTTACACCACACTTCCAAGATTCCGATTTTATCTTGCAATTGACTTGAGACTCGGACGCACACAAGCACACTCGATCTTGCCCACACATATGACAAGGACCATTTTCTTCAAGAATCTTGTAATCTTCTTCGTTGGTCTTGTGAACATTACAGCAGGTTTTGTAATCGGCAGCGCGGCTCATGAGATCTGCCATGACATTATTGCATCCGCCGTCACCCTGAGAAAAGAGGACAATGGTTCAAAATTTCATCCTCAAAATTGCACAATCTGAAAGTAATGGTGCGCCGGTAGGTCACATTAAATGAAGTATATACAAGCTACCCACAGCTGTACTAGACTAAAATTGTCAACACTCCGATTAGGATTGCACAATAGTCGAGAATCACATTGCAGAGGGGAGGGGATTGCACCTTCGTCTGAAGAGATTCCTCGCCCGTTGTTCCAGTCACACATAAGCCCCGGTGAGCGCAACGTAGCCGAAGATTCTCACACACAGCGCGTAAGTCTAAAGCAGGCTTCTCTTCACTGCACAGCAACAGCTTATCTGCAAAGATCATTATGTTTTATGAAGCAAACACTCTACACATCACTAAAGTTGTTCAATTACTAGTGTAAATATCCATGAAATGGGTTTTCGACTGGGGTTTATGCCTTCTGTTTATGATGTATGGTTATGTATGTTTAAGAACTTAGGGTGCGATACGATGTCCAAAAGAAGCAAATTTTGCACACAAGATTTGTGCTGTAGACAGTAATTAATTACATTCAATAAATAATAATTCAAAAGCGACAGAGTTTAGGAAGGATGGACAAATAAAATAATTTACTTTTTGTTCATCACAAATCCGATAATGAACTATTCTTGGAGGGATTCTAAGTATCAAAGTAAGTTTCCAAACTGTTTCTTCTCTTGGTAGTTTTGAGAAAGCAGTATTGACGGAGTTTCAAAAACTATTTGGAATGCTACTGTTACAAATTGATCGGTCAACCCAAAGACACATGTCAGTTCATATTGATGATCATGATCAACGTGAAAGAACGTATCTGACCAAGCCCGGCAGCCGTGCGACGCAGGGCTCGGAAGGAGAACAGTGTACAGAGTTCGGCCAGTGCCGTGTGATCGTCTGGAGCTCGGAAGAAAGGATGTCGTCCACTGGCCAGACATAGCCCCACGACTCCTGCTGCCCACATATCCACACCTGTAGAGAAGCAATTGTATAATAGAAGAATCAATGTATCTACATTTCTCATAAAGAAATAAATTAATGATGAAAATAATTCATCGCCTATAGTTCTCTTTTGGCCGGGATTAGGTCTAGCAATGTAATAGACGTTTGTGGAAAAACCGTTTAAAGAAATCTAATTATTAACAGTAAACTAGTGAACCTGTTTTATGTAAGCCAGGGGTGGCACAAAAGAAGTACACGTTGGGCCCATTGTGCCACAAATAAAAATCCTAGAAATTAATAATAGGAATTCCGGTTACCTTACATACATTGGGATAACTTCATAATGAACATTTATTTTCTAGCTTTCTGAGGCCAGTGAGATACTGGGGCTGCGGAATACTGAGATGGCGCTCCAGCGTGGCCTGGGACTGCTACGTCGAAAATGCATACTAAGGATACTAAGCATAATGGCCCCTGCTCTACTCTCTGACCTGTGTGCTGGTGAGGATGTCGCAGCAGCACTTCAGGAGGTCGGAAGCCTGGGGTGCCGGCGCGAGCAGCCGCCTGCTGAGGTCTTGCCATGCAGCGACGGCACACCTCGCCTCTGCCGTAGCAGCGACATCCTCCACTGTCCTGAAAGTCATTTAGTGCACAAGTTTAATTCAAGGCTATAGCTTTCTAACAATTTCAATTGAAATAAAACGTGCATGACGGTTTGCACGTATTGGCAGTGAAGGAAGTTTGTGTATGATGTGCATATCAATATTTAAATTAATTAATAAACAATTGAAGTTTGATTAAGAATAAATCTGCTTTTTCCAAGTTTTTTGTTAGGTAAACTTAAAGAATATGTTGGAGAAACTTTGAAAATTTCGGTGTTGGGCCTGTAGTATCAGGTCAGTTAACCCGGTGAACAAGTCAAGAGTTACGTAACGTAAAGACCAGGACCCAGTGAAGGGTTGTGTTTTGTTCAATTAGAGAATTACCCAGTAGAACAAAGTATGATTTATTTCACAGTAACTTGTTTATAGCTTAATTTATCCCAAGCTTAAGAACTGGGTTTCACTCCAACTATTGATGACTCACTTTCCCTCCAAACATGGCGCGTACATCTTTCTCATCTCTACTTTTCTTGGCGTACGAATTCGGTAGATTGGAGTGCATTTCCGACCCTTTCGTCAGCGACACCGGACGATAACTAGTAAAATTTGAGTCGGCACAGCTGTATTTATAGGCTGACGCTGGAGGGTGGCCACCGGGCGTTGCGTTATAGCTGAAGCTTGACTTGGTTTCACCAACAGCAAATGTTCTTGAAATACAAGGTGACTCTTTGACAGATCCAGCGGCGTGCACCGAACGTGAATTCCAATGGTGTGCGTGACGTGTAGAATTTTTCGAACTGAGGGTGAGTGGAGATGCAGTCATGTCCCGATGATTCTTTACTTTAGGTGGAATGCCATACTCTGGCTTGCAAGGAAGATCGGTTCCTGCAAGTTAATAAACAAATAACAAGTTTTAACTCCAGACTAACAGTCAATTTTCAAAACAAAATACTTCTGAGCATCCACTGTCAATCAAAGGAAACCTAGCAATAAGTCTCATACAACAATATAACATAAAAAACATTCTTTTGAATAGACGCACTGGAACCAATAATACTACCATCAATACAATGATAGCTCATCAACCACGCGTTGTAAACAAAAAACTTGCATCGAAATAACACTCGTGTCTCCCGAAATTGGCTACACACCAGAGTTGGGATACAACTTCTCTTGTCTCCGAGCTGCTTCTGCTAAACGAGTGTGTTTGCTGGGAGAATCCTGAGGAAGCACAAACGTTATCACATCATAAGTATAGTTCTTCCCAAGGATCACATATAAATTATTAATATCAAATAATTGCTTTCAAAACAGCCCCAATAAATTATTAAACACTAAAGACAATCTCAAAAAATTTCTTGTGCGAAAAATTAAAACTAAACAAAAAACTCTCGTGCACCTGATATTTGCATGGATTCTATCCAACAGGCATGGAAAATTTTTCCAATTAAAAATTGAGTCTGAAAGTAGTAATACGGTAATTTTCTATAAGGTTAATTGGAATAGGAACATTAGTGCTGCATTCCTATAAAGTTGAGTAGTATCTGGTCATCTGGACATCTGTATAACCTCACTATAAAGTAGAGTGTCTGTCTGTGGAACTTACTAACAAACAGCTGTTGTTCAGCTGCTGTGTCTTATTTTTTCGAGGCGTGACAATAGGTACAGACTCTGCAGGCGAGGAATCACCGGCACCTCGATCAGTGGGTCGTCTTTTGACAGGAGTTACACCCCCGCATGTGAGGACCGTTGCCGTGCTAGGGGCGGCGCCGTTACGCTTAGTAATTTCCTGGGGAGTAGCTGGCACTGAAGACTCGAGGTTTGTGGAGGTGCAGTCAAAAGAGTTGTCTTTCTTTTGATCAATATTTGTACCGTCAACACTGGGCTTGGATTGTCTACCTGGGCTCAGAGTCACCGCGGGCAAAGATTCTGATTGATTTACATCAGTGACAACGAGTTGAGAGTTCTTATTTCTGTTTGTGGTGTTGATTGCCGGACAATTGCGATTAACGCCACAATTCTGAAGCTTTTTAGATTTGTTGGAATCGAATCCATTTCTTGAAAGTTCAGCACAAGCAGAGATGGCTGATGTGGGGGTTGCTATGGAGTAGGAAGACGAGACACATATTTCCGAGTTTTCTTTAGCAGGACTGCGCATGGCACATTTTCTTGGAGACCGACGAACAGGGGCTCCCTGAAAAAAGTTGTTTTACTTGCTTTAAACCTATTTATTACATAAACCTTTGTTTTGGCCATGTACGTGATACCTGGGTAAACTATATGATAGAAAAGCAATCAAAACAAGCAGCTTACTCCTCATTTAAATACCGCACATACCAAAACCTGCATTATCTCTATGTAGACACAAAGTCTAGGTTTTAAGACCTCCAAAGAAAAGATTAATAATTTTTTTAAATACAATCAAAACAATAATCATATAATTTAAAACTTAAAATTTGACTAATAACTTAAATATCCATTAGGCACAATCCATATATATGTATAATATATAAATAGCAGTATTATATATTGTAAGGGACATTGTATTTTATTAAGACGTTGCAATGCGGTGCTGGCACTCCAGCCCCAGTTTCCAAGACTATGTTGAGCAAAGGCAGATTTGAAAATATCATTACCGCACGTGCATGGCAACCCAAGAACAGGGCAGAAGTACTCACAAGAATTTGTGAGTTGAGACGTGCTGAAGAAGTCACGGCGAGGATGCCTCTAACACCAGGAGACAACAAGGCCTGGCGGGGCGTTGTGTCGCACTTACGACGCTTGAAGCTCTGAGATACCAAAGGCATTTCGTGGCACACCTGAATAAGTTGAAGGCAAACTTATGAGCAGAGTCATGTGAAGAAGGCAAACATATAGTTGAATACTCATTCTATCACAATAGAATATTCAAAAATAAAAAAGAATTATTTGTTGTCATTATTTGAGACAGTACCATTGAACTAAATGCATTGCAATTTGACTACCTAATTGCCGACATTCACAACTTCACGCCAGTTGACAAGTACACTAGATTTTTTTTTAATTTGGAAACTATTGCCTTGATTGAGCAATATGAAAATCATGTTTAAAAGTGACTACCTCAACCGGGAGTTTCCTCTTGACAGGCCGGGTGGGCTGGAGGTGAGGAGTGGGAGGGAGGGATGAGGCAGCAAGTGCTTTGCTGGCAGTGTCATTGTCGCTGTTGACTTCCTGTGCTAAACCAAAGTCAACCAAGCAATACCTGCAAGAAAATTAAGTATATATATGCTGACAAAAGCTCAGTATATAACTCAGGTGATCATTATTATTATAATTATTCTATGAAGGAATTTTTCCGCTCAACTAAACTTCTTTGGTGCATTTCAAAAAACATAAGAAAGAATAAAGATGGATAAATTATCTATGCTTACCATTTGAAGGCTATACAAAAAAAGTTCCATCATAAAGATGAAACAAATTTATAACAAGATCAACTTAGCATCGTTGGGGATGTTACCTGAAAATAAACAGGCCAACCCTGCAAAGTTTGTCAATCCGTGAAATGTTATAACCCTGCATGTACACATGCATTATATGATTGCTCTGTAATAGACTTTTCATGTGTGACTTCAATAGATAAATTTAGTGCAGCATGGATGACCTACTACCTCAAGTACATAAAATTTGTGGTAGCATGGATAAACTTCTAAATAAAGTACATAGAATTTATGGTAGCATGGATGACCTTCTAATGCAAGTACATAAAATTACCTGCAACAACAACTGCTCATGGAAGGAAATAAAATATAATGGCATCCATGATACAGTCTTCAAAAAAAAAGCAAAGTTCCTTCAAATTGGTACAAATCATAGACAAATGCATCACAAAAATAAAAAATGAGTGAGACAAAATTCAGCTGCCAAAATAATTTAAAAGCATTACATGCAACTTGTATTTATAAAGCAAGATATTGCAAGATCATTTTACACCAATTTATGATATAAAAATTGTAATTCAACATCAAGTGTAATTCAGTAATATGAAAAGTTTGATATTTAAAAAAACTATTGCCTAGGCTAGTGACCTGTTGGATGCCCTATGGTACAAGAAGTTGGCTGGCTTGACATCTCTGTGCATGATGCCGTGACTGTGAACGTGCTGTAGAGCAGCTAGGAGGTTAGCTAGGTAGTCCCGTACCTCACATGGACTCAAGCATCCCATATAATCCTGCAAGTAAATTCAAACATCAAATGATCAAACTGCTGAAATTTCAATGCAATTATATCATTATAATTTTTTTATTAAATGCAAGAATGAAGTTACAAAAAATCAAAACAGAACAGTTTAGATATAAATTTATCGAAAAAATGCTATAAATAAATTTCATGCAAAACAGAAATCTTCTTGAATAAAAAATTAAATCAAACTAAAAAAATAACTGATATTGACTCAAGGACAGTAATATGGCTAAAAAAATGCAGTTTTGAATTTACAAAAAAAAAAATTAAACCTGTCCCATATAAATCTAGAAACATTTTTATTTAGATTTCTATTATCATGCAAATTAAATCATGAATCATGATGAGGTGTATATTGCCAAAACTTTGACAAGTTATTTCCCATTATTCACACATTTACAAATATTATAAAGTTAAGTCTTGCATAAAAATTTTAAAAAATAAAAGGATATCAAAAAAACTGATTTTCATGAAGACATGATTTGTAACATAATTTTTGTGCATCATTACTCACTGATGTGCTGTCATGGAAGAAGTAGGGCATTGCTATCACAATATGGTTCAGGTGTCGGTGACATGCCCACACACCCACTGTGTTCATCATACCTCTGCAATTAGTAATATTAATATTGGCAAAAAATATAAATGAAGCAGTTTGCATGTATGACATTTCAATTGAAAAAAATTATTATGTCATACATGAAAATTATGTATAACAATTCAGTGAGGTGCATTTTTCACATATATAAATAGCATTTAATCATTTAAAATAAAATTTCACAAATTAAAATAAAATTGCAATCAAGGTGTAGATTAGTTTTACCATTTACACATTCTATTTGAATAGTCTTTTGCAATCATACATTCTTATAATGGATGAAAGAATTAAAAGGAATATATATATCAGCTCCAATCACAAAAGGAACAGCACCTACCCAAGCTTATGCAAACACTTGAGTTCCATGAGCACACGTGAGGGATGTGATGTGGGGACAATGTGTTTCAAGGCAACATGCTGAGGGGCTGAATCCTGTACAGTGTTTTGCTTTGGCTTGGCAAGATACACTCGACTGAATGTACCACTGCCAACAACCCTCAACAAATTGTAGGAGAGACCCAGCTCTGGTAGCACGTCAAGGAGTCTGGATATACTTTCGCTTTCAGCTGAAAATAAAAGATGATGAACATAATTCGCATAATTAAAGAACAAATAATGTCAAGAGTAACATATCTAAAGCAATCAAATCACCACCCATCTAAATGTGTGTTTTACGATCGGTCCGTAAAAAAGCGTTGATCGGTTCAAAATGACATAAGAACAGGTTCTTTTGAATAACCTATGGATTGCCACCATGATTCTTACTTAATAATATTCAATAGCTCATGCCTCATAGTAATTGGACAAATTGACATTGGCTGCTGTCTAATATTCCTGTACCATTGGCATTGCTCTCAAACTTTTCAACAACCATTTTATTGATCAGCCTCTTTACTGCAGTATGATTTCTAGACTATAGTCTATAGCAATCAATGCAGTAAATGATTTCAACAGTTCAGTTCATCCAATTAATTTGAAAATGATCATGAACTTTTACTTAGTTTCAGCAAGTCTCACCATTTAAGTTTCACCAAGTGACTAAGTCTAAGAGTCGGTAAGAGTAAGTCTGAAATTGAAAGTCATAGGCAGACTTTCGATACAATTTTTTAATTATTTACAGTCGTTATCTAACACAATCAACAAATGCAGAAAAGAGAGGCCGCGGCTAATAGTATATCTCAATTTGAACAAAAGAAGTTTTTGTGATGCTCAAACTACGAGAAATTTACATCGCGCCCAATTTTTCAAACCAATCGCGCCATCTGATTATTGTAAACATTGTATCGTCTATAGTTTAAATGACCTGGCAGTGACTTTGAATAGTCTATTCCTTAGATAAAACGGTTCATGGGCCTAGAACACTTCAGAACTATTTCAATTATGCGTAAAGAAATAGAATTGATAGAGTTTCCAAATATATCTTGAATTGGACATCCCTATAGATAAGTCAAATTTAAGAAACAGAAATAATTCACTCATCAGTCACTGACAGCGGCTGCATGAGTCCGTTGCTTAGTCCGGGGAAATGTCGATTGTGTGTTGCTTGTGAGCTTAACAAAATTACCTCTCAAAAATCGCAATTGTGTTTCAAATAGACATACCCTGTGACATTTTGGAGTTAGGAGTTCAGCCATAGACCACAACATAATTTTCAAACTAAACCACATTGGCAGTTTTATAGCCGAAAATGTAACACCCTTTGCATGCCTCACAATACGATCCAGCAAGCGTTGTAAGAATTTTCTTCCCTCTTATTTTCAAATATCACGCAAGACGGTAAGTTTTTACAAACCCTCTGCACGCCCAAGATCTTCACATCAAAACAAATACTTACCTAACTGATTAATAAAGCTTTGCATGTCCAATAAACTAATGCGAGATAGTCAACATTTTTGTCAATGGCTTTGCTTGCAGCGGGCTAAACGGTAAATTTGTACGCTCACCTTTGCAAGGCTTACTTTAACGAATCGAAACCAATCTTAACCTAATTAACAACAAAGCTTCTTATTCACAGTACGCTACAGCGAAATTTATTAGAATTTCTCTTCCACCTGCAACGTTTGCATTGTCAAATCGATGGATGTCACAAGCTATTTACTTTATTTATTTATTATATCATATTATGCATTATTGTATATTAATTTACTAATTCAATAACATAGCAAGGCCTGCAGAAGATTACTTCACTTTTAGTACGACTGTTTGTTCAAGATCGCCCGTCTAAATTGACTTTTCCCTTATGGTTATGAGATATATTAATTACACAATTCGACTACCTATATATGTACTATAATATATTAATTACATAATAGCAGTCTTCCATATCCGGCCTATCGCTTCCTATTTGACAGCAATGATATGATCAGGATTGATAGACTGATGTATTATTCAGCAAACCACATCGACCATAGTCCACACGGGAGCGCAGCAGCTCTACGCCTACTCAAAACTTGAATTAATTTGTCATCAGGCAAGATTTTTTGCGACCTATATTACATATTAAAGCCTAATCTGTAATATTATAGTTCACCGGTTATTGTGCGGGAGAAAAGCCTAACTGGCCTACAAATTTGAGAAACCACCGCTTTTCAGAGGCTGTCCCTCTCCCCCCTAGGAAGAAGGTAGACGATCGACTATGCCACTTCACGCGAGCTGATTTATCATTTATGACCGCTAAGGAAAGTGTCGTGACAACGTACGACACTTCTACATGCCACTTTTACATGGCCAGGTCGCAAAGAAAATGGGAAATTTACGATTCAAGAGTGCTGAAAAAGTACTTTGTTAGGTAAATTCTACAAAATAGAGGGTGATTCAAATATAACTTTAATACCGATCAATAGAGAATAAATAGTACTACTTCCTCATGTCTCAAAAATTTAGGTAAGTCGCATCACTCGCATGTATAATGAACATCGATGTGCCACATTTTACTCTATCATAACCGATGTTATACAAAATTTACATATATTTTGTAACTTTCGGGAAATTGTAAATAAATAGCTGAATGAGCATGAAAAAATTTAGATTGATATTTCATTTACGAGCTGAATTATAATGACTATACGTAGTGATAGCAGATAGATTCTCATAGGGATGTTATTGGGGCGCGTATCTAGGGTACACCCATGGTTAAATTATTATATGTATTAATTCAACCATGGGTACACCGTACATATCGTATATCGACAATACCCGAAATTTTATTATTTCGGGGAGAATATTTTACTATAAAGTGATATTTCAGAAAAAATATGTGATTCAGCATGACGGGACTCGGGATAACGAGATTCCTTATCACGGTTTCGCGGGATGTTTTGATTCAGAAAGGTATTACTTTCGAAGACGGGATATAAGCGTCTTCGAAAGTATAACTATAAGCGTAGAGATTTTTATATTCTGAATCTCAAAGAATCATCTATCATGTGCAATGAAGTTTCGGCATTTTGTTTTAAAATTTCAGACCATTTTCAGGACAATGTATGGACAACGTTTGAACAAGTTCGACAAATTATCCAATATATACGAGTATATTAAAAAAATTTTAAAGTGCTCGAAAAAGTTGAAGTTGTAGAAATGGTTTACGAAATTTAAGTGAATGGTGTGTTTCAGCAAATACTGATTACAAAAACGAATTTCACTATTGTTTTTTTCGAATTGTGGCACTTTGTGCAAGGGGGTAACGACTGGTAAAGGGGACCGGCTTGGTCCCGGAAAAAAAAACTTCTACATTTACCAACCGCTCTTTCTGAAATTTCACAATCCTACGAAAAAGGTCGAAAATTTTGTTCGTATGGAGTTTTAGAAAAAAGTAAAAGAAAACGTGAAATTACTAGAAGAGGGCTAAGAATGGGGTAGTCTAAAAAGTTTCTAACATTTGATAATCACACGCTACAATATCGAGACACATTTCATTCGATATGTAACAAAATTATCTAGCGGCTCTAGAGCCCCAATTTTAGATTATGGTCATCGTTTTTGGTTTATGCGCGTTTTCCATTTTCACTTTTTTCAGCCCCCCACCCCCACTCCCCGCGTATATAAGTCAAACCATGCACAAGTCAAAAAATGGCTCTTAGAGTCGCTAGGTATGGTCTTTACGAATCGAATGATGTCTTTCATTGCTGTAGCTTGAATACTGTAGGAGTCATAAAGATTTTAAATTTTTTTAAATATATAAATTGTTCAGGGGAGCCAAATAGAATAGAATAGAAGTGTCGGCATTGAAGAAAATAGGCCCATGGCCTGTTGCCGATTCTTGAATTTTTCGTGATTTGATTCACAAGGGATCCGGCCTTTGGAACCCGATCTTTCCATAACTGACGATTGATTGAGATAGCTGCTGGACTTAGTGCCTGGTCCGTAATTTGCTAGGCATTTTAAGACTGAACATATGCTCCTGCATAGCTTCGTCTAGTCTGTTTTTGAAGGCGTTCATACTCGGAGCGCCAACGATGCTATCAGGAAGGCTGTTTCACATGTCGGTGACTCGAAGCGAGAAGAAATGTTGTCGCATGGATGTGTTATAAGTTATAACGCAGTTTTTTATTTATAGCCGTGGCCCCTGGTGTTGGTTCTTGTTTCAAATTCTAGTAATCCTTCAGGGACCTTGTATAAGCCATGAGTAAACTTGTATGCTTCAATGAGGTCACCACGCAGACGTCGATAACTGAGGCTTGGAAGCTTCATAATCTTTGATCTTTCCTCATAGGACTTGCCTTTCAAGCCCGGAACTAGCCTTGTTGCGCGTCTTTGAACAATCTATATTAAATTTTTGTCCTTTTCAAATTTCGGTGACCACACGACGTTCCAAACTATTACGCTTCCTTTTGGCACGCCGCTGCGCCGCGCTATATAAACACCTTTATTTTTGCGATTCCGTGATTACCTTTACGACATTTACTAACACGCGGACTATAACAACTATTCATATCTTTATTTTTATTCTTATTTATTACTTATACTTTCCATTACACTTGATTAGATACACTTAACGAAGTAGAGTGCTGCACAGTGTAGGACTGTAGGTGATAGGTTTGTATACGCCGAGTCATCAGGGCGCTTACTGCATACGCTGAGTCAGCAGGGCCTCAAAACATGGCACTTATCTGTTTAATTATTGGTACATTAGTCCCATTACTGTAACCGATTAATAATAAGCCAAGCTATATAGTGATATATAAAGCCTTTAGTTCATATAGATTACATATATTCTAGGAATTAAAGTGCATGGGTGTATTTTCAAAGCCACCTCACTAAATATACAGTGGCTGTTTTAGCGCGTTTATATACTGTAGCTGCCGCAACTACCGTACAGTAATAACCACTATTTAGATTTTTTTCATTTCACCAATCGAAACGCATATTGCAGAATTCAAAACAGATGTTTGAATACATCTGCAGAATCGTTGAATGGGCAGGACAATGTAATTCGGACAAATTAAATTTTACTCAAAATAGAAATGCAAATACATATTTGAAATTTGTAATAAAGAATGAAATTTTTAATAATGGATTTTTATATTAGGCTTGCCAGCCTCAAGAATAAAGGCATTAGGGCGGGACG